ACTTAAACAAAATCTGAAACTGAGTGAAAAAAAAAATGCCACTAAAACTCTGAATAATATCTGCTATGGTTGGTGATATTTCAATGAACTGGCATATATATATATATATATATATATATATATATATATATATATATATATATATATATATATATATATATATATATATATAAAACTAGTAACTTATGCTGGTTTTGACAAGAAATTATCAATGCTCAAATTAAAGGAGCAACTTTCAGTTTTCACATTCCTTGACTCACTTTAGTTCAGCCTTTGTTGATTGATGTTTAGTTTTACCGCCTTTTCATCAGTTTGAAGAGGACATGAAAAACATTCCCATTCAGCTTTTACAAAATAAAAAAGGCTGACATAATGTACTGTTTGCCAACAAAGGCTAGTAAAAAAAAAAAAAAAACATTTCAGAGCTTGTTTTCTGAGAAACTACAAATGTTAATTATCTTCCACTCGAAAAATAGTCACAATTAAAACAGAAAAAAGTTTAAAAAAAAGATATTGGTTAAAAAAAGAGGGCCACATGTTTTATAATCTAGATGCTGTGGTTATACATTTTAAAATGCCTATGGCCAAACTAAAGTCCCAGTTAAGGTCACTCCATCCTTCATAGGTTAATCTCTTTATGTTTTTAGACCTCTCCCTTCATTAACAGACCTAACTCAAAGACTTAGTGGATTTTTACAGGCATCTTCAGAAGGCGATGACTGTTCCTGCCTGTGAAGCTGCTGCAGTCCTGTGATGTCACACCCTGCTCCCTCTGCTGTCGTAGATCAACCAGGCCTGAGTGCTCACACCTGCGGCAGCTCCGATTACCAGGAGTTGCTACACCTAGCAGGAGTACTATAAAATTCTGGATCGCTCAGTGGGTAACTGCCAGATTCTTGAAAGCCATTTGTGTGAGTGAAACATCCAGCAATCCTTGTTTTGACCTCCTGACCTTGACAATTCTTGTTTTTGTTTTTCTCCTGCCCGTCTCCTTTCACCCTTCCCCTGGCCACCTCTGATCTCTGGAAATTGGCCTCCTGCCTTGCTTCCTGCCAAAGTCTGTCAACCTCTGCCTCTGCCTGGATTGTTCTGTCTATATTGCATAACCCCCAGACTGACATCGACTCCCCGTCTAGCCTTAGACCTATCCAGATTTTGATCAGCTATTCAGTGATCCAAATCATCCACATGGAGCCACTAGGATTAATCATCAGAGCTATCGCAGCCTCCTGGCTTCTGATGAGCTGGGTGGCTTTTCTTTAGAGCTAATTCAACTCCAATGAGTTGTTCCAGGCCACTAAACTTGTTCTCCCCCCTACAGTGATTCCAGTTTTAGTCAGTTCCTATCCCTGCAATACCAATTTACACATAAATAAACTCTTGTAACGCTTACCACATGTCAAGCTGAATTATCGGGTCTCCAGATTCTGCCCCGGCGTTAAATGGAGCCCAACTCATGCTGCTATCTATGCCCTGTAAATCCCTCCAGTCGGGGTTAAGTTCACACTTATCTCAAGGTTAAGGTCATCTCATGACAGTGCATTCTTTCTTGTGCCAGACTGCTTCCTTCCATTTAAATTTCCATTGTAAAAGGTATCAACGAGGATGTTTTTTTTGCAGGTGCATCAACAAAATAAGTGATCGTCGAATCGAATCGTCGATCGAATAATTTTCGATCATTCTGGTGATATGTTCACGTAAGGCCGTACTACATGCTTGTCCCCATTTTCACTTACTGGTGTGAGTCTGACACAGTGGAAAAATTGCAAATCTTTCTTTTAAAGTAAGCTTGTATGAGCAATGCAAACAACAAATTTTAAACAGAGCCTGCACGAAAAGAAATGGGCTTGTGCATGCTCTCACGTTTAATAGGTGTTCCGACTCGCGAGTGGCTACAGAATTGTGCATGTGCATTTTTTTTAAAGTGGAGAGGGCAGGACTTCTCAAAAAAATCGCAAAAATCCTCCACTATACCTTTAACAACCAGCTTCTTCAACAATCACCTTTTGTGGTTCAGCAATGAGGCAACTTTTAAGTCAGCAAGGAATTATTTCCAGTGAAAATGCATAAATAAGGTAAAGAATGTCATTATCCCATACAACAGAAGAGTTTAACCAAAGACTTACATTTCAGAATCCTCTTGGTCTTCACCGTCTTCTTTATCTAGTGCCTGAAACTCTCGTTCTCTGGCCCTCTTTTCTGTGACCTCCTTCCAGAAATCATTAAGTTTTAGACCCAAAGCACCAAGGGTGAGTCTTAACGGCAGAAAGAAAACAAAGTTACCACACTGAACACTTTCTTCCCTACTTAGATAAACAGTAAAGGTAAAGTAAGGTATCTCTATGGTATACATTTGCTTAAGCTTGACTTAAACTCTGATTGAAGTGCTGCAAAATAGCATGAGCTCATATAAGAGTGTATGTATCTCATGTACCTGTATTCTTTAGTGTACTCAAAGTCCTGTTTGTTATGAGCTGGTTTGAGAAAATTACACTCAATGATGCCGATTACCCCAATGCCAACCCTTTGACCTGATGCCTGTAGGAGAGAAAACGATGACTTAGAACAATAATTAGAGTATTGTTTATAATCTAAGTGTAATACCAGAAATATTCCTAACTCAAAGTTTAACTGTTTTCGTTCACCTTGAGCTGGCAGCCAACTTTCTCATAGGCCTTAATGAGTCGGTTCTTGTGGTACATCATGATGCCATAGTGCTCCTTCTTTTTAGGGTTTAGACCAAAAGTCACCTTCACCTTCTCTTTCTGATAGACACCAGTTAGGGAAGAAGATATTTTTACACTTAAATGACCTTAAATGACCCTACTTATTGTACTTATATAGCACTTTTTCTAGTCAGGAGACTTGACCAAAGCGCTTTACACTACATTCAGTCATTCACGCATTCAAGCACACACTGATGGGGGCAAGCTACATTGTAGGTAGCCACAGCTGCCGAACACTGGCGCCACCGGGCCCTCTGATCACCATCAGTAGACAATGCAGGTGAAGTGTCTTGCCCAAGGACACAACGACAATGAAAGTCGGAACCGGGGCTTGAACCGTCAATCCGATTTCAGGGCAAACTCCTACATCCGATGCCGATTTATAATAAAAAAAAAAAAACATAATGACAGAGAGAATGACAGAGAGGCTTGTTTTTCTCTGGCACTCTTGTGAAAAGTGAAATACATGATATTCAATTATTGGAGTGAGTATTAATCCTGACAAGTTAGAAATCAGCGGCAAGAACGCTTATTTTCCCACCAATTAAACAAAAGGCTTTAACAACTGGGACTGTGACAGACAAAGCTGGATTAGGACTCAAGTTCTTAGAGTTAGTAACACACTGTTACAAGATGGGTAAAGAAGTAGAAAACAAATCCTGGGAGAACCCATTATATACAACTGCCTGATTCAAACTTTAGGCCAAGAGGTTTGTACTTCTTTTTAGCTTGAGAAAATAAGGAGATGACAAAAGGATACGCTAAACTGAGGTTTATAGACGTCATGTTCGATGTGAGTCAGACTTTTGGACACCAACTTGGCCAGGACTTTCTTCCCTCTTAGAATGACCTGGGTCCGTGGCTTCAGGTACAGGATACTGAGGTAGGCCTGGGAAAACAAGCACATGAAGGAAAAATGAAAAGATTAATATATTTCACAGAATAACATTTTTTTTTACTGTTCTAGTGGGTGGGAGGATCATAGTCATTATAGATGGTTAAGATATTTACCGAAACAACCCCAGCCCCGCCAGCTCTTACCCTTATCATCCTTGGTAACTTTAATATAAAAACCACTTTGCAGCAAACAAGCAAAAACAGCCCGTTCAAACATGCTCTGCAAGTTAAGAAAGCTCCACCTCTGTCTTAAATCTGACTGTAACAACCAGGATACCACCAGTAATCTAAGGCTGCCTGCTATAGGATATGTTACCTACTGTAAATTAAGTTAAAAAGTTAAAACTGTAATAAAATAATTGACAATGCTAAGTAAAGAAGAACAAAAACTGTACCTGTATTAGCATTAATGTTGTGAAAATTATATTGTGACAAAATTTTTTATTTTTTTTTCCCTTTCTGTAAGTCATTTTCTAATTGTACTCTTTGGATTTCTCATAATCATATTGCAGCAAGTGACTGTTTTTGGTATTCACATTGACCTTGATTTTTGCCATGAAAATACTTAAAAAGAAATGTTAAATAAAAAAAAAAGAAAAAGGTCTTGTTTGTCCTCCATTAAAACTCTTGACTTGAAATGTAGTATTTCACCAAGTGCCATATAAAGGGTTAAAAGGAACTGGGGCAGGCTTACTATAAAACCACAGATGTCTTCAGTGGTGAAGAACTGCAGCTCACTGTTCACATTCACCCTTTCTGCCTCATTAGAGCTGAAGTTAGGCTTCCCTTGACCTTAACCACAACCACTGCACTTTGTTTCAGTTTGGGGCTGCTTTAAAATCCTCTCTTGAATTCTCAGTTTGTTCAGTATGTGAATGATAGCAAACAATGCTATTTCACAACAAAATATGATAATTTCAATTTAATGAAAACACAGTTATGCAAACCAACCTGGCCCAATGAACTTAATCACCAACCCAGTCTCAGCACTTAACTGGTGCCTTTTTACAAAATCTATGACCCTCATCCAATTTGTAAGCCGAAACAAGGCCTTGTTTGGGCAGTTCTATAAAGCTTCGAACTAGAGTTGCACTGATACCGATACCAGTATCAGATGGGACGATCCAGCACTAAAATGGTGGTATCGGTATCGGCGATTACCAACAAATAGGGCACCGATACCATTTTGAGAGCCAAAAGTTTATTCATTGCCACCCATTCCAGGTAGCATTAAAAAGTTCTACTGGATTCACTTTGTATTAGTCTTTTTCCTGCTTCACAAAGTTAGACAGCAGCTTGACAAAGCCATGATGGCAATTATTTTACATCCAAGTAGTATGCAGTTTGTCATATATACACACACAGACACACACAATTTCAAACAGATGGTATCGGTATGGTATCGGGGCCAAAAAAATGGCATTGGCGCAACACTACTTAGAACTCAACACTAATTTTAACATTTTGAATTAAAAAAGTTTCCTGGATGGGAAGCGAAATGTCTTCAAACTTGGAAAACAAAGTCCCGTGGATTGGTTTTTAACTTTTTTGGATGACTATGACCTGGATGACTGAGAATCTTCAACAGGTTTAAGATCCTAAGATTTACTTCTAGCCTGACACCAGAACTAAACCAGCACCAGTTTGTTGTTAGACCAGAGGAACTAACAGCTTTTAAATGTCTTTAGAGGTTAATGTAAAAGAATCACCACTTAAAAAGTTGTTAGTGATTTAAACATTGATAACCACCACTTATTTTTTGTAAGTTAATGTTAGCATCTGTTTGCAAAGAACGTGTGTCTTGTTACAGTCTGGGGTTGCCTCTCTGCTTTAGGACCTAAACAGTTTGCCAACATAGGAGGAAACAAGAATATTGCTTTCTCCCATACCGCCCTAAAACATCAGCCTGTCTATTTTAAACTCGAGTACATGAGGTTACGCAGCAGAACAATGAGTTCCTGCTCGAATAACAACAGTCCTGGAAAGAAGTGTGAACCAAAATTCTCACAAAGCAATGAAAGAGACTGTGTGCTACTCATGGAAAATACTGAAGAGAAGTTTTGCCACCAATGCTTTTCAAGTTATTAGTTTTTAGGGGAAAAATACTCTTTTTTTTTTTTTTTTTTTTTTTATACATAAGGTCATGTTGGTTTAAGTGCCTTTTTTTTCTCCTTAAAGATTGGATTAATCATTTGAAAACTGTTGTCATATAACTAATGTTATATAAGTGATAATATTAGACAAGGAAGTAAATCTCGTTTAAAAGTGCAGTTAAATGTTTATTTTCCTTTGAAACCGTTTTATAATTTATGAAATAGGATGTTTGTTATCTTAAAAAGATATCTAAGTCTGTAGCTAACATGACTGTAGAGTTACTTCCTTAAAGTCACCTTCAGTCTTTCATAGCAACTACAGACAGTGTGAACAAAAAGAGCTCAGTAGGAACTACGGCTTCTTAGAGAAGAGCGACCCTCACTTGTAGCTGCAGTAATTCAACATCCTAAAACATCACTGACATGTTTTTGAGCAGGAAAGAATCTGCCTACTTCAGAGTGAAAAAACTTTTGAGTAACTGTACACAGCTGTGTATGGTCTGGTTTAGTGCTACCTAGCAACAAGTGCTATTTTGGTAAAGAGAAGAACATTCGGAAGCAAGATGAGGAAGTGCTGCAGACCGCTTTTAAAATATATCCAGCAACGGCCCAGCGAACTACGTACATGATTTCAAATAGGAGTAACGTAGCAGCCATCTCATTTCCATTCACCGCTGTTATTGTTACGATGTTCCAGGTCTGGAACTTCACATTTGACCTTATTTTAGAGCTGGACTGAGCTGTAACAGAAAGTCACGCCCAGTGGTCTTTTTAGTCAGTATGTACATAATCTTTACTTCTTCCCTGAGCTCCTGCAGTGGAAGAGCTGTTTGTGACCACAAAAATAACATAAAACAGAGCTATTTTTTTTTAAACTGCAGGAAACCTGATTGCTTACTTCATCAGAAACTGGAGTCACAAGTGAAAAACAGATGAATGATTTTCAGCTGCGTTTTTCTAAACTGTTTGCCAAGCAAAAAAAAAAAAAAAAAAAAAGTCCTTTGCTCCACATGATACATTTCTATTTAACCTTTTTTACAATTAAATTGACCTAAAAATAAAAGTCAAATAAAGAAGTTGGAACATCATATTTCCTGTAAAACAAGGATAATTGATTATTTAAATCCTTTGAATTGCAGCCTTTTTTTTCTATTTGGTTAATATGTTTTTTTTTCTGTTATCTATTCAGTGGGATCAGATGATCTGTCAAACGGTTGTGCGATGCTTCATTTCTGTCGCAGCAGTAGTTTCTTTTTCTTCAGTGCCTCAACACAAACTTTGGACTGCGTTGCAACCACACTGTTTATACATACAGCCTCAAAAGAAGGCGTTATCAGAGAAAGACGATCTATTAGAAGAAAATTATTCACTCTCTGAAGTACTGAAACACATCCATGTCTTTAGACTAAAATTATACATAAATGCTGAATTGTCTTTGCTAAACAGCTCTAATCCGAAATTCAAGAAAATCCAGGTCTTGTTGCAGTTTTTAAAGTGGATTTCAATCTTGGCTTTAGCATCCCCACATCAGGCAATGCTGTGTTTAGGGGGATGTTTTCACATGTTGTGACAAATAATCATGTAGCTAAAAGGTCTTTCAAACCTTCTGTGGGATTAGCCACTACCTTTTTAGTTGAAAACAGCTCTTTGGAAATAACCTTGCTCTGCAAGCTGGATTATTGCGAGATTTGAGTTTTCAGTCTCACAACAAATCCATCTTGAAAGACTCTCGCTTATATGTCCATCTCGTAAAAATCAGTGAGTTGGACCAATGGCATGCCAGCAGTGTTTTTAAGGGCGGGACATATAGGTGTGAAGATAGTTAAAGGGGCCTTGCAAGGGCATTACAAACATGGCTACGCAGAAGGATTCACCTGTCTATACCGCAATTGACTCGGTTTTAGCTAAAATAGCGACATAATCTTGTTTAAAAAAGAAGCAAAAAAGAAGCACTTTGTGCATTTATAGATTCGATTCAATTCAGTTTTATTTAAATGGCGCCAATTCACAACACATGTCATCTCAAGGCACTTTACAGTTGACCAGATCATCCAGTCAAATTGATTCAAAGTTTTCTATCTAAGGAAACCCAGTTAATTGCATCGACTAATTGACTCAAATGCAACCCCTCACACTAAGTATGCTTGTAGCGACAGTGGAGAGGAAAAACTCTCTTTCAACAGGAAGAAACCTCCAGCAGAACCAGGCTCAGTGTGAGGGACCATCTGCCGAGGCCGACTGGGATTCAAGGAGACAGAAGCAGAGATACAAAAAGCAATTGTAAAAGGCGGCACCGTCCTGAAAACACACAGCCAGGCAGACAAGCTCCGAGCCAAGATAAGAAAGATGTCACTGCTTTTCTTCAGAAAGTTTTCCTCAAAAGTTTGATTTATCAGCTTACTCTGCTAGTTGTGAAAACACTCAAGAAGCTGCAGATGACCCGCTGCAAAAATTTGCTGAAAGCGTATTATGGAAGGCGGGTACTAGCTGGCATATCACCCAAGGTGGACATATATGATCTAATTAAATCAAAACTCAGGTTCAGTTGCAGAAACATTATATCCTGTTCCCCCTGTTATTTACATGAAATGTTTAAAATGTAAAAAAAAAAAAAGTCTAATATGACAGATTATGGAGAGTTTAAATCTAAAAATGTTGTTTAACTATCTTGTCCAAGTGGCAATGAATACCTTTTTTCCCCAAAAAATGCTAGGTTAGTTAAGTTACATGCAGTGGTGGTATACTTTCACACCTTAGTGCCCATCTAGTGTTGTACCACACATTGCAACACTAATAACTGCTTTTAACAGCTCTGAATGGGCCCCCGATGTTTTCACACCTACAGTTCTTCAGCAAAGGCGACAGAAGCCATGTTTAAGACATGCCAAGTCTGTATCTGTAATCAGACGTGTTATAATAGCTTACCCTTAGACTGTAATACATGTCTGGGATGTTCTGCTCAGGCCTCAGGGTCCCACTGTTCCTCAGACCCTGCTTCAGCTCTTCCAGATGAATCTCGGGCAAACGAAAGTCCGATGAATCTGAGTCGAAGTCAATCTCAGTCTTACCATCTTTGGCTCTTTGAGGGCACAAAACAAAATAGATTAGGTTTCCCAGATCTAAAGTTACTTTAAATGGCTAAAGAAGTGCACGATACTGCAGGTAGTGTGAATTAATTATTCAATTCTAATTGAATATGTTCTCTGCTGTGCTACACTCTTGAGGCCAATGTGATTATGATCAGGACATTAAAGAGGAAGTGCAAAAATAAAACTTGAACAAATAATTACTGATAAGAAATGTCATCATTTAATTAAACTTTGGTTAAGCAAACATGACACTTCTGTGTCTGTATGTTTCTGTGTTTGAATCCTCATGGTTATTCACACTGAAATTCATTTGAACTAGACTTTAACCCCCCAAAAAGATGATAATATCTTAAGATACAGATATATGCTTAAAAACATCAACATAAAAATCTGTTTCTGACCTGCGGATATTCCATATCAGTATCTTGGTGCCTTTTTTTGAAGGAATGGAGTCGAAGTGAGTGAGGATCTCCTCCTGGGACTTGATGATGGAGTGTTCCAGGATGGCCGCCAGGCTGGCCTCTGAATCTTCAGTCACAACCAGAGACCCTGATGCTGAATTAAGGCTTACATCATGCATTTTAGTATACTCTGACAGTGGTAGCCTCCTGGCTAAAGGCCCAGGGCAAATGTCATAACTCTTAAAGATTTCTCTTGCAGATTTTGCATGTCTACTAAATGAGAACTCTCTGGTTGAGCATTGTGAGATACACTTTCCCCGCTTCGTTGCTGGTTGATAACATCTCTAAATTAAAAAGCTGCTTCAATATTTTCCAAAGACTTGGATAATTTCCAATTCAGAACTTTAAATACCCGAACTAGCCAACGCTAAAGTGGATCTTTTTAAATAGAACTGAAATAACTGTAAGTAACCTCACTGTTATTGCTGTAAAAGCCTAAAAGTTAAACAAAACATAAAATGCAACAAAATTGGAAAAATATGTCTCCTCAAACAAAAAAGTTAAAATCTTTCCCCATCTTTTTTCCAACACTGTGTTTGTTCATCCAATAGTTTTAACACTAATTATCTGACAACATGAAATAGGACCAAACAGCTTACAAAATAATTAATTATGTCACAATATAAAGGTAATCATAGGATCATTCAACAATGGGGTGGGAGAGTAGGGAGCATTGATTTTTAATGCTAGTCCAAATACAGTAAATCAAACCTTAACAACAAAAAAGGCAGTAATCCGAATTGGGGCAAATAAACCAGGTGTTTATTACAAGCTGACTGGTATTCTCCAGAATTACTTTAATTAATTAACTGCTAAGCTGCTTTTTATTCATCTAATAAAAAAAAAAAAATCAAAGTTGAAAACATCATAAACTAATAATAAATGAGAGCTTTGCTTTTATGTTTTTTTTGCAACTTTTCATGGAGAAGCAACTTCAGCCTCACAGAAGCTGGTATAAGACTTAAACAACTTTGATTGTCATTTTGTAAACACAGAATGTATATAAAACAAAAAGCTTTAAGACAGTGGTGTAACGTTTTATTTTACCCCAAATTTCCTGTTTCTTAAGGGCTCTAAACAAGGCTGAGGTCAGATGACGTCAGGTTGGAGATAGGGTAAGGTCACTAAAAATGTGTCTGAACCTTTAGGTCCTCCCTGGATAACCATGTAGCAGTTTTATGCATTACCTGCCATAAAAGGCAAAAGCATCTCTAAAGTCAAGGACCTCTTCTTTTACAACTATTTGAAGAAAGTTTCATCTGATGTTGCAAAAGGTTTGATTATCTAACTCAATCATTTAGCTCCGTCCAGCTCCAAAGCTCCATCCAGTTCATCGTTTTGCTTTTCTTTGATCTCACATTGGAGAAATCTACCACTGCATTTACCCCATCCCCTTGGGGAGCAGTGGGCTGCCATTGTGGGGCACCCAGAAAGCAGTGAGGGGTTAAAGGTTTTGCTCAGGGACCCAGAGTGCAGGCTGTGGCAATCAAACCAGGTACTTGCAACCTTTTCAGAGCACTAAGTACAGTGCTCTAACACTAGGCCAACACTCCCCAATACAAAACTATGTAAATCCAATAAGAATTCATATTATAAAAAAAGGTTAAATTGTTCATCTAATAATGCTGCATAAAGTATACTTTATTACACATTTATATAGGATAGGTTCAGGGTGATTTCAATCCAACAACCATCACTGTACCTTGATGACCATAAAGACAACTCACACTGATACCCATCATCACACACATGCACTTAGTGTGTAACACCCTTCTCTTTTAAAAAGGATATTAGTTTGTTGGTTGAAGGGGACTATGGGAACAATGACTGCCTGGGCTTTGATGTTCTGGAGGTAGGTCTGTGAGAGAAGTCCCACTGTCTGACAGCCGCCATTTTTGGTGAAAATGAGAGCGTCCCGGCCGAGACGCATGGAGCCGGACTTGAAGCCGTTTCCGTACAAGCCGATGGCATTTTGACTGGCCTTACCAGAGCCCTTTTCTGTGAAGCCGAAGCTGGAATAAAACGGAGGAGATTAGTAAAGACATACTGACATGGGTTACTATTAAGGTAATTTATTTTAATAGTCTGTTCTTTGTTTAAATTCTGGATTCTGGATATTATTTTAACAAATACAATTTCCAGTTTAAATGTTTTTGACTCACCTAAGCATCTTGTGCAGCTTATTAGGCGTCATCCCACTGCCATTATCAGTGAACGTCAAGCAAAGCTCATCGCTGATTTTAACTACATCTATCCAGATCTGTTTGGCACACACACCAGGGTCTGAAGCATTGTCTGGAGGAGGAAAAGCAGAAATACAAAAGTTGAAGAGGACAGGAAGACATTAAAGGGATTGCTAAGATTACAGAGGAAAGACTGATAAAAAAAAAAAAAAAAACATAAATTCCTGTAGATGCTGAGAAACAATTTTTGCAACTGTTAGGTTACACAAGGAAACAATATTCATTTGCAAAAAGGCTAAACCTGAGACCTGTCCTATGGTGTGCACCCTCAGAAATGATCTGCATAAAAGATCTCATATTTTACCATGTAGCGTATTTAAGCCAGAATACAAATTCTTAACATAACATACTAATGGAAGTGCATTGATAAGGTCAACCTTTTTGGTTATATTGAGATGTAAAAACCTAAAGGAAAACATCTTAATCTGTACCTCCAGCTGAAAGGAAAGAAAAAGCTCTCTATATATAAAGTAACACATCTGAGGTTGGAAATACTTTCGTTTCATTTTGTTCTGTTCCAGATTTTTCTTTCAGGTTGTTTGGATCCAACAATGAAAGTAGCTGGCAACCACTGGAATGTCTAATGCGAATAAATACTTAAATTGACAGCTAGGGTGAGCAATCCTGTCCAAAACCCTTTTTGTTATATTTAGTAAAATGACCAATCAGACGCCTTCATCTCTGCCCCTCCTCCTCGGCGTGTACACGCTCAGCAGGTTTGGCCAATGACGGAAACTTCAACAATACCCCTTGATAAAACATATGAGGTTAGTATTGCTACCGTAAACCTGACTTGCTACCTTGCAAGCTACAATAATAATATAGTTTACTTGCAGGTGAATAAGACATGAGGTAATTAGGTTGAAGTCCGAAATGCATTGAAAGAAATTGTAGAGTTCTGCTGTGAGATGGATGTTCAATCAACATGCATAAAAAAAGAAATGTTAGGACTAAATGGCAGGGTGAAAGTTCAAAGGGTGTAACCAAACTGGGAACCGATAAATTAACCCAGAACCTCTGCAACCCATTAAAGGGGTTCCCTAAGTGGGGTTGAAGACCCCCAAAGGGTTGTATGAGACCCAGCAGGGAGTTGCAACATGATAATAAACACCATGATGTGACCCCTTAGGTGTATGGAAGACCAAAAGGGGAAGAAATTAAAAAATAAATATGCAATGACGCAAATAATTTTTTTAATTAATGATTCATCTGTCTAAGCGTTGCTTAAAAAAGATTAATGCCATTACAGTGTCTTTCAATACTTCATTTTAAGTAGTAGGCACTTAAAATGACAAGCAGTTCACCAAAGTGGTTCCAGAGAGAAATATAGCTTCATTTCTACTGGTGGGTGACGAGCTAATAGCCAAGAGCAGGTAAATGGTTACACCTGGGCTTCAGGTCCATATGTGTTCTCTAAGGTTGAGGCTATGCAATAATAACATCTGTCCATCTGTCTGTCCATCCATCCGGTCAGGTCAAAAATATGCTGTGCAGGACAGTTTTGCCAACATAAAATTTGTAACCAAAAACAGGACTTCTGTCTGCACTTCCCATGATCTGGGCTTCTGTCAATTCACAACTGCAGACACTCTTCAAATTTTGATTGGTTCACTCACAGTGAAAATCCTCAGTTTATTGTAACACATCTTTTAAAAAGACGCTTTTCGGTAATAAAACTACCTTTGAAGTTTTTATTAAAAATAAACAGCTATGTTTCTGTTGTATTAGATATAGTCTAGTCAATGTTTGCTGTATCTAAACTGGTAAAAAGACATTAATACAATTAAAATGTGCACACACATGGATTAGGGGGGCGCAGTATTCCTGGCATAGAGCGGTGTATAGAAGCTCATGGAATATGGGTATGTCGACCTGCCTTGTTTAAACCTGGAATGTCACGTTGAATTCTTGAACAGGGCTACAATAGGGAGCATGGTGAGAGTAGCCACAGAGTCAACAAGATATGCAAAACAAGCAGAGGGAGTGCACAAGAACTCGCGTGCACAACGTGCCAGGCTAAACCTAAAAGGTAACTACTGTCTGTTTTGTATTGGGACAGCTCGAATCAGTTTACATCTGATGATTCTTTTGCCATTACAATAGATCTTTAATAGTCTTGCAGCTCTATGGTCCAAAGTAATGTGATTTGCATAAAGACCTCTCAGCCTGCTTCTGTCCTGGCTGTTGTCAGACTAAGACTAAAAGAGCAGTGCCAAGAAAAGCTGTGGACATGAAGCAACCAGGATATGTGCAGAAGACAGGAAGAAACCATGCTTTATCAAACTGAAGGATAAATGCTATAGCACATGAAGATAAGCTTATGCTACCTATTGCCATCTTGCAATAAAATTGCTTATATTCACAATAAGCCCAGAATTAAATCATTTAACAATGGCAGCAGTTATTAGCTATTAAAATAAGCTGTGACTAATGGTGCCCCCAAAGTGATCGGTGATCGACATTTATGGTGTTTTCAATTTGACTGCGATGGATTTGTAGCAAAAGCAAGCTGGTCATAAATAGTTTCTAACTGATATTTTGTAAAATCAAATTGAGATGTAGTTAATGGGGAATAATATAGTTCAAGGGACGTTTTGAGGGTCTTTCTCCAAAACTACCGTCCTTGTCATGGTATAAGCATTAGAAATTCTCTCCATGAGCTCCCAGCTGGCTCCCCCACGTGATCAGGTCCTTTAGTTTAATAAACAATGTTTATCCTAAAATAGCTAGACACATTAAAAACTACTTTACATCACCCCATTTCATTACACTGCTGCAGTTAGCACAAGTCTTCCTGTATATAAAGCAAAAGTATTGCTCTGTAGATACAGGGCATCTACTGGTGTAAGTTCAACAAAGTAGTAAATGCAAAAGTAAGATAATATGGATTTCACACTAGCATTAATTAATTAATTAGCTATACATGAAATGTATATATAGATATACATGAAGGTTTATTCATACATTTTCATATATGTCTGTCCATCCATCCATCCATCCATCCATGGAATACATCAAATAAAGTTATCACTTGCTATTCAAGCTAAGATGTATACATTCAATAAGGACTAATATTAATGTGATGACAAAAGAGGTACAATATGAGACTATTTTTAGGTTTGAACTACAATAATTTAACCAGTTGTTCTCTCCTAAAGCTGTTTTATGGTGAAGACTGGACATTTGACTCACATGCTAGTGGAAAACCACAGGAAAAAAATGTCTGGTTAATGTATTATTTTTAATTCTTTTGTTTTACAGGAGGACTGATGGTGGAAAACGGAATAGGATCGTAAGAAAGGGAACATAAGAAATGTTATTTAAGTATGCTTGACCCTAATCTATGCCTGTTTTATGTTAACAAAATGATCTGCTTCTGAAAAAAAAATATTTTCCTTCTGTCTTAAACTCTGTTCATCTTCAGCTACTAATAGAATATCAAAACCAGGAAAATTAATTATAAAAAAACATTATTTTGATTTTTTTTTTTTTTTTTTTTATTTTTTTTTTTTTTTTTTTAGTCTGGACTAAAACTTTGAATAAAGTTTGATAATTTCTTTTCTTTGACAAAAAATAAAGTTTTACATTTTTTAGCCAGGAACATAGAAGTATAAACTTAAAAAGTCTGATTTGTTCATCATGATCAGCAAATTGCAAAAGTAAACTGAGATTTCATCGCATTGTCATGCCACAGTGTGTTGAAACCAACACTGACTCTCAGCATCATGGAAGGTAAATGTAGTTATATTCTAGTCAGATAATATCTAGTGGTCTACATATGAAGCTACCCAACAGGATACTTACTATATCTAACTTATATCATACTGTAGAGCTGTAAAGTATATTTGAACATGATTTGTTTCTTTTTTTTATTAAAGGGCAAATCTGACTGCAGAACATGTTTATAAATTCACATCAGCTTAAAAGTCCTTATTAGCCAGGATCAAGCTGCTAAAGGCTTGTAGGATTTTCTTTGCAAATGCTTTTTTATTCGACTTTCTATCAGTTAAACATATCCGTTTTGATAGAAGCATAATTGTTAAAACAAATGAAGTCAATAACATTTCAAATTCATATTTATGTCTTTTTACTCATGAAGGTTTTAAATAGACTGGAATGCTGGATCTTCCACTGTGGGACATTTTACAGTGAGTAGACTAAAACAAGTGAGGTAAAATATATTTATAAGTGATTGAGGAGTGATTATTAATGACAGAAATTGAAAATTGAAATAATTATCTTGGTATAATTATGTGGACCGTGGCTCTGAATGTATTGGTTTGTCCTGTTACTGGTGGGTTGCTAGTTTGACACCCTGCTCGGTTCATCTTTGTCATTTTCTCCTTTGGTCAAACGATTCAGACATATTTTTTCACAATTACTATTCACATAAATGTGAAATAACTTTTTGTTTTACAAACCATAACTTACTATTTATTAATGTGTATTTATTCACTAAGGGTATCTCTTTTTAGATTAGTTAAATAAAATAAAAAAAGAATTACCAGATTGATTATTTACTAATCGATAATCAAGTTTTAGCCCTACATTAAGCTAAAAGAAAAGCAACAATTAAATATCCCCTTATAAATTAAATTTGCCATTTGGTTAGAAATTGATTTAATAATTAAATTATCTAATTGACAATAAAATTAAATGTCCTATTTAACTGGTATAAGTAGGTGTGAGGTGCTTAATATCTTACAATAAAACAACTGAGGATGGAGCTCTTCTGAGTCACTCCTAGGGTAGCGTTTAACAAATTAAATAAAGATTCACAGGAATCAATATATGTTTGCTTTTTATGTATTTTTGAATTCTCTTCTTGTTAAGCATTTTACACAGAAGCATTGCTAGTGTTGTACCACTACTTATCTCCATTTCTAGAGTAAATTACACAACTATTGATTAAGATAACATCAGTGTACCCCAATTGATTAAAGTTGTGTTGCCATGGTAAAAGCTTGTCCTTGTCTTTGCTGCTAATGGAACAGCTATTAGCTTCAGTCTCTTGGCTGAAGGTGCCAAGAGGCACCTAAACTGCAGCTACAGTAAGAGATTACCTGCTTACAACCTGCTTACAACAATGCTTTTAACAATTAAATCACCTCATTTCCAAACCAATGCAACCATATTGGACCTACAGTATGCTGTCTTAAAAAACCCTGTAAAACTCAATAGTCACAGCATTTTTTTAATGCTTTTGATTTTGTTCCTGTTTGTTTTATCTTTAAACTGTCAACATATTTGCATTTAATGGTGTTCACTCGGAAACGGAAAAATGTTTCCTGTGAAAATTAGAGGCTGCAAGCAGTGCACTGCCCTTGGTCTTCCTGTTAGGAACTACTGAGGAATGTTTTATGTAAAGTATTTAGAGTAACACCCAGATATAAAGGTACTTTCTTAACAGTAAAGGAACTAGTAGAATATGATATACTTCAAAACTTTTAATATCAGAGTTGTTTTAAGATAATAGATGCTAGTTTGGATGTATACAAAAAAAAAAAAGACCTCAGGAGTGTTAGACACTAACAACTCGCAACCTCTCAGTAGAACCTCCATTCAGAAATCCTGCATTCTTCCCTAACCCCTTATAGGGCAAGTTACTGTTTTTGATCACTTGCATACCCCTTACAAATGGAGTCCCCCCCCTTGTCCCTCAGTGAGGTCTAGAAACACAAGATCTATATCTAGCCCTTCAGCAAAGATCAAATGATATATTACCTACTTAATTAAGTTGGAAAAGAAAAAGTTACAAGTCAAGAAAAAAGGTAAAAATCGAATTGAAAAGTAAAACAGTAAAGTTTAAAAGTTACTAACCCTAGTTAACAATTTATAACAGTATATAAACTAAAAAAAATGTTCAAGTTCAAGTATCAGTATTAATGCTGATACTGGACCAAAATGTTGGACCAAAAAATGTGTTTTTCATGAATTTCTTATAGAAGCACTTTTGTTATTTTTCTTAATATATTCTGGCAAGTTGGCGTTTCTTGTTATTATATTGACATTAATGTTTGCCATCAAAATATCCATGTTTTTTAAATGTTACTAAGGTAATACACTGGAAAAAATAAAATTGAATAAATAAGTATTTTTTTCTTAATATAAGTGCATTTTCTCTTGAATTGAGGAGTAAAGTAAGACACTTTATCAATGGTACAAGACAATTTACATTTAAAATACGAAAAAATACCTTTTGTCTTATTTCAAGTAATTAATTATCTTATTTTAAGAGTAAAATTCTAATGCCTTTGGCAAATCCTCTTATTAACCCACCTACATTAAGGGTAAATACACTTAATTTAGGACATTTATTACTCATTTCTAGATCATTTTTGCTGTGTAAGGTCTTGCCCTGATTCCTATAACACTAATGGCTTAAAATTTTGAGTTTCAAAGTATTTCACTGAGTGCCTATAAAGTGGTAAGAGATATATGATATTGGGTTAGTTTTGAAGAACAAATGTTTCCTTAAACAAATAAATAAATATTTACAGAGGAGAGCACATCTGGACTGCAGGAAATAAGTTTGACTGTGTGACACTTTTCTATCTAAAGTCATCCAATAGCCTCAGATGGGCAATGCATTATCTGACCACAACACACAGCACTGATATGAAATGCAGTGATGTAATTGCACATCTTCTTTGCTGCTCTGTGACAGTTCCTGTTAAAAACCAGACAGGCAAATAATGGCGGTTGGGTCTGAGCCAATGAGAGCACACAGAGTGGAGGCATGACAGCCCAGACAGACTCTATAAAGTCACGTTGCAGCACAACAGCCTATTTGAAACTCTTGAAAGACGGACAGGGCAATGTTTAGAAAATACAAGGGATTCAAACTAATTTAGATGCAAACTAATTTTGCTTTAAGTCTGAAGTGTTATAGAGGAAGTTCAACGCTCTAATTTGGCACAAAGTTGGTGAAACGCGCAGCTTTCAATGTGCGACAGCGGAAGAGCGATCAAAATGAAACCACGATAGTTTGCAAGGAGCTCAACAACACAGGCTGCAGGTGCGCTGCTCTATGCAAACTTCTCATGTCATCGTGTCTGGTAGTTTACCTATTAACTCTGCCACCGCGCTGAACGGCCAGGTGTGACTGGTGGAGTTGCTGTTCAGGAAAGAAGGGCTCATCTGATAAAACAAAAGCAGAATAATCAATCAGCCAGGATCGTTTCTGTCTAAATCAGAAATGATTTTAGAGAGGAAAAATGCTTGATTGTATATTAGAAAGACTTACAGAACTGAGGCGAATCCCGTGCTCGCTTAACCTCGCCATGTTTTCTCTGTGATGATATTGCCTGTGGGAGCAGGTACGTAACTTCACACGGCAGCGCAGTGGGCGCGTCCTGTGCGCTGCCTCCACACAAGGAAGTGCTGCACGAGCATACTTTAAATTGACTAATGACTCATCTTCCAAATCCTAAAGCATCTTTTGCTGTTTTTTTTCCCCCTTGCTTTTCTTTTGATGTATCTGCAGATGAATGAAATAGTTTAACTTGTTTGATCTGAAATGATCTGATGTTTATGAGTGCGCTTTGGGGGCATCAACCTAATTTTCCTATCTGCTTCAAAGTAAATCTGGAAGCAGCATTTACAGAAGATAAAACAAGAAAAAACTTACCACTTATACCACAAGAATAAACTGATTTTACTGTTATAAAAGTTCTATAGAACAGGGGCGGTTCTAGACCAAATGTAGGAGGGGGCCAG